CTATGGGCCAATACGCACATGGGAATGAACCAGTGCACCACGTCACGTCGATGTATGCGCTTGGAGGAGCTAAAAAGGAAGGCGAAGAGATTATCCATCGAGTGATGGACGAGTTGTATAATTCTGGGCCAAGTGGGTATTGCGGGGATGAAGATAATGGGCAGATGGCTGCGTGGTATATCTGGAATAGTATTGGAATGTATTCGATGACGCCAGGGACTGGGGAATATGTATTTGGGAGTCCAAATGTGGACTCTGCCTTTATAAAAATACAAGGGAAAACGTGTGAGATACAAGTGAAGAAGGTTAAGAGTAATAAGGTGAAAGAAGAGAAGTATAAGTACATTGATAAGATCTTTGTAAATGGGAACAGGTGGACGAAATTGTTTATCACACACGATATCATGGCAGAAGGAGCAAAAATAGAGTTTGTTATGAGTAATGAACCAAAGGAAAGAAAACTGATCGACTCGGACTATCCAACAACGTTAACTTCAATGATAGATGAGAGGGGATGGTTTAAGAGTGTGGATAAATTGAAGTTAGTAGCATGATGAAATGTACTGTTAGTTCTATAATCGCTGTGTTGACATGAAAACTAATAATTAACTTGATATTGTTATTATTTTTTTTTAATCAAAAACAAACAATAGTTTTATCTTAACAAATGAATTTTGTCGTTAAAAGAGTGAGTGGAAGCTAACTATGAATTCACAGCATTATTGGTATAAAGTATTAAAATAATTATTATATATATGGTTTATTTATTGGTATACTACAAAACTCATATTTCTTAATATAGTAGTAATGATATATATCATTTGTACTTTGTGAACTGTTCTATGTTTTAAATAACAAGATGTGTATTGTTATGAAGCAAAGTTACCGTTAGTCAAACGAACGACCAAAGAAATTACTTTGTAAATGACAGTGATTTAAGTTTAAAGTTATAAAGAACAGTTACACACATTAAACAAGCACTACCATTTAATTACAGCCAATGCCTGTTCCTTCACTTGTTGAGGGAAATGTTTCATTTGATAAATTTCTTTTGTATTTTTATTTTGTTTTTTTGCTTAGATTTTTTGGTTTTAAAAGGATTTTTTGTAAAAAGTTGGTTCTAAACGAGGTAATTCAAATCAAGAGAATATTTTTTTCCAATAAAAAATGCTAAACTATTTTTTCTTTAATAAAATTTAACAATATTAATTGTAAAGAAATACAAATTGAAAATAATCAAACAAATAATTCTTTTATACTATATTTAATGGTTTGAATTGTTAAACAAAAATATTAAAAATTCGTTAATTTAATAATCAAAAACAGTAACAATTATTGCTTCAAAATAAAAAAATAAACTATTTAATTTTAGTAATATATAATTTCTGTATAATAATAACATTTTTACAGAATTTATTTGTATTTTTATATTAATTTTAGTATTTAAATTTTTTAGTTCTTGATCTAAATTCATGATTTCCAATCAAACTATAATTTTCATAATATTTTCTTTTATTTGGTTTAAAACTCATTTATTTGGTGATACTTCATTTTTTAA